GGCGGGCTGGATCGCGGACCCCGCCGCCCTGGGTGTCCGCGAAGGTGTGCCACGCGTCCTTCTGGGGCTGCCCCATCCTCTGGAAGCTCTTGATCCTCTGCACCTCTCTCGGGTGGGGCAGGGGAGGGAGGGGGGAGGGAGGCTTGCCATCGCTCGGACGTCCACTCCTTGTGCATTTGTCGGCTTCGTGCGCGCATTTCTCCGCCAGTCGGGTGATCCAAAATGCTCCTCGACGACCCACGCAGGGAAAAATGCACGTCCGAGCGATACCAAGGAGGGAGAGGGGGGGAGGGGAGGAGGGGACAAAAGTAGAGGGCAGAAGAACCGCCCTCGTCCACTATCGTGCCTCGGGGATCGAGTTGGAGTGTCCTCTGCATTGGATATTGCACTCTGCTCTTCCTTGACGAGGCCTACACCCCCGAGCTCTGGGCGCTCCTCGGGTGTGGCGCGTGCTGTCGCAGAACTCTTGGGGCGTCCTGCGTGACTTTCGAAGCCAGGGAGGCCCAAGACAGGACAAGAGGGCTGTAAGAAGCCCCCGGGACGGTCCAAGAGGGCCCCGAGACGGCCCAAAAGCGCTCCATGACGCCCAAGATGGCCTCAAGACGGCCCAAGGAGCACCCGAGACGCCCCAAGAGGGACCCAAGAGGCCACCCAACAGGGCCCACGAGGCAAACATCAGTGATTACCTTTGGGTTTATGTACGACGGTTAGCGTTCTTATCGTCGGGGCTTCCGAAGCTCCAAGACGGCCGAGACGCCCCCAAGACCGCCTCAAGACGACAAGACAGACAGCCCCAAGACGGCCCAAGAGTAGACCCCCCGACGAGCCCACGAGGCGCCCAAGACAGCAACAAGAGGAGCACAAGACGGGAACACAAAATGGCATCTGGAGCACTCCACCCCAAGATGGCCCCAAAGATCCCCCCACAGGCCCCCGAGGCGCACAAAGAGGCCCCAGGAAGCCTCAAGTAAGTTTCAAAGAAGCCAGAAAGAGGCGCCAAGAGGCCCACAAGGAGCCCGCAAGAGGCACTCTCAGAGCCCTCCAAAAGGCCCCCGATAAGCACCCCAAGAGACCCCAGTATGCAGCCAAGAAGCCTCTGGCCCATACCCCAGGCACGGTAACGGGATGGGGCTGGAGGCCATTAGATCCACAGTTTCATGCGCTTGCCACAGGGGTGCTTGGCGCGCCAGGTGTTCTGACTGTGTTGGTTCCCTTGTGTGTTTCTTCCCGACGGCCTTCGTCCCATACAGTTTGCCATCCAAAAGAATAAAATCCACCTCCCCGCAAAAAAAAACCTTCCAGGCAACCAAGATTGCCCAAAATGGCATTCTAAACGATCAAGATGGCCCAAGATGACCTCCAAGACGGTCACAAGACGCCTACAAGAGGGCCAACATGGCCCCAAGACGGCCAAGACGCAGTTCTGACTGCCCAAGAGGCCCCCAAGACACCCCAAGAAGGCAACAGGAGCTCCAGGAGGCCAAAACCATTGATCGCCGTAAAGTTGTTCAATGTGTTTGATTTGTTTCGCCGCTTCGGGTTTCCGACGATCCAAAAACGCCCAGGCCCCCGACATCGCCCCAAGACGGCATAGCAAGCCCCCAAGGGGCCCGCAAGACAACCCAAAAGGGCCCAAGACGGCCCAATTGGCACCTAAGACGGCCCCACAGACCTCAGCCCTATAGCGCCCCAAACAGCCTCCGAATGCCAAGATGCCCCTTGAAGGCCCCAGAAGCTCACAACCCCCACCCACCCCCGCTTGAGATGGGCGGCCTGGCGAAGCGAAGTGCCCCTTGACCCCATGCCCCCGTGCTTCCGTACTCGCTAACAGCCTCTTGCCACGATGCTCAAAGCTGAACTGGTCGAGCTAGCATCACAGCGCTCTGTCGGCCCGGGGCCCATGAGGCGCCACGGTTCGGAGGAGGACGGGAAGACGGAGAAGAGGAAGAGGAGGGAGGAGAAGCGGGGGGGGGAACGGCGTGCTCACGACGAGCGGCCCGGCCTCCAACCATCCAGACGGGCTGGACTGACAGTGCGGCACCACAGCGCGGAGGAGGCGGAGGAGGAGGAAGAGGAGAAGGAGGAGGAGGAGCAGCAGGAGGAGCAGGGGGAGCAGAAGGAGAAAGGGCGAAGAAGAGCAAGAGTGGGGGTGGACAATCAGCTGGCGAACGATGCAAAACCCGCCTGGAATATATCCGGCCCAGGGCTACAGACAAGCCGCGCAGGAACAACCTCCCCAGGTCGAGCGGAAGTATAATTACCGCCAGGCGAATTAAGCTCAGCCAAGCGCGTGACAAACGAACTGCGCGACCAGGCCCGGAGGGGTGGCGAGCGAGGGGGCGAGGACGAGGACGACGGCGAGGAGGACGAGGAGGGAAGGAAACTGACCGCACCACCAGCGCCGGGCGCTCTGAGCCTCTGCGCGCGGCCCCCGGCCCCAGGAAAGGAGGGGAGGGGAGCAAGCAACCAGGCAAGCAAGCGGGACGGAACGGGGGGCACG